AAAAAAAAAAAAAGAATTATCTATGTGAGATCAAATTGACAACAGCAACTCAAAAGTTTTGATGGGAAGCCTAGGGGGGCAGCGAGTTGAAGATAATGGTGATGGAATAATTTGGAAAAGAATAGTGAAAGTAGCAGCACAACTGGAAGAATGTAATTGATGTCACTGAACTGTATATGTAGAAACTTTTGAAATGGTGTAACTTTGGCTACGTATAGTCTCACCAAAAAAAACGTCCTCCAGGGTCGAGAAGGGAGAGTGTTGACATGTCGTGGGCTTGTTAACCAATGTCATAAAACAGTATGTGTTCTGACTGTTTAATGAGAAACTATTTGTTCTGTAAACCTTCATCTAAAGTACAATAAAAAAATTTTTTTAAAAAGAAGGTGATGCCAAGAATCTTTTTCTTTAAGAAATAAATACTCCATGATGATGCAACTCTTCTGTCTTTCCTTATCCTTGAAGATGTTAATAACTTTTGAACTGGCTTTCCTACTCTCCAGGCTCTCATGATTCCATTGAACTCTACCAAGAGTTAGAAGATTCTTCCTCTGTAAGGAAGGAGTGCTGAGATAAGATCTCTTTTCTAAATTAAAAACTTTTCTGCTTTCCAGAATCCACCAATGCACTCTGTTCCTTGAAGCTAAGTCATAGTCATTTCCTCCAATCAATGTCAGAGTAGACAGAAGATTGGGATGTTTTACCATCCCACTTATATACTATTTGTTCTAGAACCACCTTGTCTACCACCTTGCTTAGGAATTTCCATACCTTTATAATGAGCAATCCAACAGAATGCAGAAATTATTGAACAATATCATTAATATCACACACAAGTAAAATTTTGCTGAAGATAATGCAAAAGAAGTTGCAGCAGTACATCAACAGGAAACTGCTAGAAATTCAAGCCAAAATTCAGAAGAGGACGTGAAAAAAGAGTTATCATTGCTGATGACAGATGGATCTCGGCTGAAAGCAGAGAATACCAGAAAGATGTTTACCTGTGTTTTACTGACTATGCAAAAGCATTTGACTGTGTAGATCATAACAAATCATGGATAATATTGCAAAGAATGGGAATTCCAGAACACTTTACTGTGCTAATGAGGAACATGTGCATAGACAAAGAGGCAGTTGTTCAAACAGAACAAGGAGATACTGTGTGGTTTACAATCAGGAAAGTTGTGCATCAGGGTCTTATCCTTTCACCACGCTTATTCAATCTGTATGCTAAGCAAATAATCCAAGAAGCTGGACTATATAAAGAAGAACGTGGCATCAAGATTGGAGGAAGATTCATTAACAAGCTGCAATACTCAGATGACACAAGCTTACTTGCTGAAAGCGAAGAGGACTTGAAACACTTAACTGATGAAGATCAAAGACTGTTACAGCTTTCAATACTGATTGCACCTCAACATAAAAAAAAACAAAAATCCTCACAACTAGACCAATAACAACATCATGATAAACAGAGAAAAGATTGAAGTTGTGAAGGATTTCATTTTACTCGGATCCACAATTGATTCCCATGGAAGCAGCAGTCAAGAAATCAAACGGCATATTGCATTGGGCAAATCTACTGCAAAAAATAACCTTTTTCAAGTGTTAAAAAGCAAAAATGTCATTTTGAGGATTAAAGTGCGCCTGATCCAAGCCATGGTATTTTCAATAGCCTCATAAGTATGCAAAAGCTGGACAATGAATAAGGAAGACTAAAGAATAACTGACGCATTTGAATTATGGTGTTGGTGAAGAATATTGGATATACCATGAACTACCAGAAGAAGGAATAAATCTCTCTTGGAAGAAGTACAGCCAGAATGCTCCTTAGAAGTGAGGATGATGAGACTTCATCTCAAGTACTTGGGACATGTTATCAGGAGGGATTATTCCCTGCAGAAGGATATCATGCTTGGTAAAGTAGAGAGTCAGTTAAAGAGAGGAAGACCCTCAATGAGATGGATTGACACAGTGGCTGCAACAATGCACTCAAGCACAGCAACTATTTTGAGGATAACACAGGACTGGGCAGTGTTCGTTCTTTTGTACATAGGGTTGCTATGAGTCAGAACCAACTCAACAGCACTTAACAATGACAACAACGATTAAATCACCAGTGATCCCAAACCAAAAATTCCTCCACCAGCACCCATGCCTTAATCACTTCACATCCTCACTTCCCTTAATAAAATCTATCACATACAACCTTAGAACTGTTATAAGCTTATAGACTGGCTCAAATGTAGCTACCTTTAAGCTATCTAAATGTATTCATATTGTACTAAAAAACTGCCCATAGGCTTTCCAAGGCTGTAAATCTTTACGGAAGCAGAACCAGCTATCTTTTGGTTAGCAGCTAAGCACTTAACTACTTTGCCACCCGGGCTCCACATATTGTACAAGAAACCTGAAATGTCAGTTGAGTTTTTTTTCCAACTCTACTTTCAGTTCATCCCTTTACTCCCTGTGGACAGCATTTGTTCTTTTTTCTTTTTTTCTTTTTGTCAGATTTCTTATTTCTCCCATGTTCTGCCCTAAGCATGATAGATCTCATCTAAATTATAAAGCTAATTATTTATAGAAATGTCAATGGGAATAATTTTCTAATATTGATATGAATTTATTTATTATTTGAGTACTCATTCAATAAACATTTATTCTTCAATAGATAGCACTCCAAAAAAAACAAACAAACATACCCATTGCCATCGAGTCAATTCTGACTCATAGCAACCCCACAGGACAAAGTAGAACTGCCCCATAGGGTTTCCAAGGAGCTGCTGGTGGATTCAAACTGCTCACCTTTTGGTTAGCAGCTGAACTCTTAACCACTATGCCACGAGGGCTCCAAATAGCACTAGACCAGAGGAAAAAAATTTCAGTTCTTCTACTGAAGAAATGTTCTAGTTTATCAGGGGTGGCAAATGATTTTTTTCCCAAAGTTGATAAATGCCATGGGAGGGGCAGACAAAGATTTCTGGAGAACAGGTGAGGGACAGCTGACACAGATTAGTGGGGTAGGACAGCTGCCCAAATTAAGTTTACTGGGGGAAATGACCCTTAAGCAAAGACACTTAAATGATTAGCTGAAGTGAGTAACATAAAGACATAGAGGAAGCAACATTTTAGGCTACAAAAAAGGAGTCACAAAGCAAACTTTTTCAGAAGTTACAAGTAATTTAGTATGGATAAAACATAGAGTACAAGGAACAGATAAGATGAGGATGGACATGTTCACCAAAAATTTTGGACTTTATCTAGTAAGCAAGGCAGAATAAGTCAAGGATTATAAGCATGAGAAGTAGCATTAGCAGTATAGAATTACTAAAAACCTAGGAACCTGATAAACAGTTAATGTAACTACATCAGGCCATAACCACAAAAGGCCAACTTGTTTGTCAGGATCTATAGGACTTCAAACAATTAAAAAAAAAAAAAACTACATCAAAGTGGTTGTCATGGATTGAATTATGTCTCCCCAAAAATGTGTGCATCGATTTGGCTAGGCCATGATTCCCAGTATTGTGTGGTTGTCCTCCATTTTGTGATTGTAATTTTATGTTAAAGAGGATTAGGGTGGGATTGTATAACACCCTTACTAAAGTCACATCCCTGATGCAATGTAAAGGGAGTTTCCCTGGGGTGTGGCCTGCACCACCTTTTATCTTACAAGAGATAAAAGGAAAGGGAATTGAGCAGAGAGACAGGGGGACTTCATACTACCAAGAAAGCAGCACCAGGAGCAGAGCACATCCTTTGGACCTGGGGTCCCTGCACAGAGAAGCTCCTAGTCCAGGGGAAGATTGATGACAAGGGCCTTCCTCCAGAGCCAACAGAGAAAGCCTTCCCCTGGAGCTGATGCCCTAAATTTGGACTTTTAGCCTAGTTTACTATGAGGAAATAAATTTCTCTTTGTTAAAGCCATCCACTTGTGGTACTTCTGTTATAGCAGCACTAGATGACTAAGACAGAGAGAGTGGGGTGCTGCTCTAACAGATACCTAAAATGTGGAAGCAGTTTTGAAACTGTGAATGGATAGAGGACCAGAAACAGCAGAGAAGTGGCAGCAGCAGGGAACCAGCAGCAGCAGAACCAGGAGACCAGCATAAGACAGTGCTGGAGCCGACCCACAGAGCAAGAAAGAGTTGAGTGTCTGTACACAGGAGGCTTCCTGGAAGAGTGGGGTGCCTCCAGGCACTTACCAGTGGAGCTACAGAGCTTTGGAACACTTGCCCCAGCAGAGCAGATGCAGGTGTAAGGCCCAAGGGCCCAGAGGCCACAGGAAGCAGAAGCTGAAGAGACAAGAGACACAAGATGCCAAGCTGCCTCAGTCTCAAAAGGTATGGCCATGACCTCAGGGGTTTCAAAGGGTGGAGCCATGGCCTCTGGTGTTTCTAAGGGTGGAGTCACCACTCAGATGGACTAGGAGAATGGTGTGCCTAAAGCTGAGGGAGCAGAGTTGCCATCCCAGTGGGCCTGGAAGGCGGAGCTGAAGCCCGGGGCCAAGGGGCCTCCACTCAGAATCTGGAAAGTCTGGCCAATACCTAGAGTCTGGAGGGCAGGGTCATTGTATGAATGGTCTCAGAGAAGAGAGGATTATTTTCAAGACTTGAGGGCTAATGTAATGTGTTCTGCTAACTTGCTTAGTGCCTGTTATACCTTCTTTCCCTGTAATTTTTCCTGTTTGTAATGGAAATGTCTAGCTTGTGCCTGTTCTGCCATTGTACCTTTGGAAGCAGATAACTTGTATTCTAGATTTCACAGACAACAAGAAATTTTTGGATTTTGGACTTGGAGTTAAGACTTTTGCTATGATATGATGGGATGAATATGTTTTGCATGTTGCAAGGAGATGATTTTTGTGGGGCCCAGGGATGGAATGTCATGGATTGGATTATGTCCCCCCCCAAAATTTGTGTATCAGTTTGGCTGAGCCATGATTCCCAGTATTGTGTGGTGTTGTCCTCCATTTTGTGATTGTAATTTTATGTTAAAGAGGATTAGGGTGGGATTGTAATATCCTTACTAAGGTCACATCCCTGATGCAATGTAAAGGGAGTTTCCCTGGGGTGTGGCCTGCACCACCTTATATCTTACAAGAGATAAAAGCAAAGGGAATTGAGCAGAGAGACAGGGAGACCTCATACCACCAAGAAAGCAGTGCCAGAAGCAGAGCAAGTCCTTTGGACCCGGAGTCCCTGCGCAGATAAGCTCCTAGCCAAGGAGAAGATTGATGAGAAGGCTGACGGAGAGAAAAACCCTTCCCCTGGAGCTGACGCCCTGAATTTGGACTTTTAGCCTAGTTTACTGTGAGGAAATAAATTTCTCTTTGTTAAAGCCATCCACTTGTGGTATTTCTGTTATAGCAGCACTAGATGACTAAGACAGTGGTAGAGCAGAGTGCTCTAACTAGTTC